TTAACCTCTGTTGTTCCTAGAATTCACTGTTTGATTTTTAGAGAACACGAACTCAGCGCATCAGACATCCAGCAGGTTGGGAGTTCTAATACTTCCCTTATACCATAACTGGAGGTCCTATATCATTTCCTATATTGTTACAGTGCAAAATACAGTTCTTTTAGGCCATTCATCTATACATTCTCCGTTTGTTCAATTTTTACTGAGCAAATGTTTATCAAACATCTGTTGTATTCTAGGCACTGTGTGTGGCACAGGGTCACAGGAACTGACTAGCAGCAGAGGCAATGTTAAGAGAGAGGAGCTCACCTTCATGACTCACCACTGCTGCTCATCCTGCCCTTGCTGGGAGCTTCTGAATGGGGAGGGTGTTTGTTTTGATTCTTTAGAGCTTTGGGGATTATCTGGAGTGAGGGAAAAGCATTCATCATTTTCAAGGAATTTAATCTGATGTTCAGGGAAGCTGGAACTGGTCCAGAGAGGAGAGCAGGGCCTGGGAGTGATGTGAGAGACGTCAGTGCCCCGGGAGGTACCCCAAAGGGAAGGCTGGATTAATGGTCCTTCTTCAGTCAGAGAGGGCTGTTGAGGGTTCAGCCTGGGGCACTGTGATCAAAGCAGTCTTAGAAGTACAAAACCTAAACAGGCCTAGCAAGTAGCTATTAGAAAGGCCTGGTAGGAAGACTGGTCTTTCTTGGGCTATATCAGGGTAGCAGTCATTTGAGGGACACAGGGAAATTATAAAACAAGAAATGGCTTGATTTCTCCTCAAGGAAGAACAGCAACCCCAGTGTGCATAGCCTGGGGCTATAACGACATGGCCAAGAGTGACAGGCTCTGATTCAGAACTTGTCCTGTCCAAGATCAGGAGCAGCTTGTTCTTGGACAAGTGCAGGCCCCAGCCTTTTTACCTCATCTGGACATGGGGATAGGTGAAGGAGTCAGAGGTGAGCTAGATGAGTGCCCAGCAGCTTGTGAGGGTATTGCACAAATCCTTCAGTTAGCAAGTTGTCTAGAAAACAGCTCTCCAGTTGCCGAAGTAATCAATGAACCTCTCCAGGACACGGGTGCATCATCTCCTTTCCCCCGAAGAGTTACTTTTCTTGACTTAAGGACGTGTTCCTTTGATCAGTTTGCCAATTCCCTAGGCCATTTCACAGGAGTTCTCTACACTTCCAAAGCAGAGCTCCTCACCTTTGGGTCTGGTACCCAGAATCCTGCTCCCTGTTTCTCCACTGTGGATCTGCATTCCAGGATGGCAGGCAGAGACCTCTTCCTATCCCTCAGTGTGCAGGGAAATAGAACTTGTAGCCAGAGAATTGTCACCTCAAGAGAATAGCCAAGGGCTTCATTTAAATTAAGTTCAGTGCCTTAGTTTGTAAAAGCAGAGTAGGACCTTATAGTCAGATTCTTCCTTTATTCTTTTCTACCACCCCCATTTTAGAGATGAAGACACCAAGGCCTTGAGAAGTGATTTGATTTCTCCTGATCATGAAGCTAATGACTGCCTGGAATATGACACGATCTGACATCTTTTACCGAAACATTTCTCCACTTCAAAACATCTTGTGATCCGAGAGGTACCAGGCTCTGCACTACAGAAAGAAGGTGCCCAGCTCCAGGCCTCAAGAAGCACACAGCATGCATGAGAGAAGGCCAGGCTGCCCTTCCAGCACCACTAACCAGTTACAAACAGAAAGCATGGACCAAGCAGAGTTTCTTACGGACACTAAAGAGAGAGGCTAATTTAAAACAAGCATTCCTGGAAGAGATGGGTTGCAACTGGAAACATTTCTTGATCTGTGAGCCTTCACTGGGTGCTTCTGAATTGGTGTGAACTAGTGTAGAGTTGCAGATCACAGCTTACTGCCTCGGTAACACAGAGTGCAGGACTTCATTCGCTTTCTCGTCAGAGCAGCAAGTGAAAATGTTTGGAGGGCTCCTAAATGAACATGAATGAAGAGGAGAGAAATCAGGTCCTACTTTGGAAGTGCTTCCAACATCTTAGTCTTAAGTAAGGTGCTCAAAGGTGACTTACAACTGACAGAAAAAAGTCAAGGAAAAGGGGATTAGAAAATGGCGAAGACAGCTGGGCGTGGTGGTACATGCCTGTAATTAATCCCAGCACTCTGGGACTTTGAGGCAGGAGGATCTCAAGTTTGAGCTCAGCAATTTAGCAGTTTAGCAACTTAGACTCTGACTCAAAAAAAAAAAATCATTTTTAAAAGAGCTGGTGGGATGCAACTCAGGGCAGAGGCCGCAGGTTTCATCTACAGTACAAAAAACCAAACCCAAACAAAAACAAAAAGAGGTGAGGGGACATTTTCCACATTACTGAGTCCGGAGTGGTCCCAGTTCTTGTCTGTCTTCTTCCAAATCCATGGGGAGATGCTCCCTTCTCTCCTTCACGTGACCCCAGAATCTTCTTGGTAAACGACACCCAGACCGCTCCAGCTCATCTTCTGGACCCTGGTTTCCAGAGGTGCTGAAAGGACACAGATAATTAAGGACTTTGAGAAATGTAGGCTACCCCTCCTGCAGAGGTGTTTCGGAGGCAGACCCTTGTGATGTCTAGGCAAGGAGCTTTCCGGTGAGCCATCTCGGTCCTGGGAAGTGAGGCTTTTTCTGAGCCAGAGTGGCCGTCCAGACACAGAGGTTCCCAAATGGGGTACTGAGTATTCCCTAGACTTGTAGGTTTGGTTTTGTTGTGGATGGGTGCAATTGTTAAGAAATGAAAGTGTTGTTTAGCAGGCGAGGTTCATCTGTTGGTTGGTTTACCAACTGGGAGCTGGGCTGTTGTTACAAAGGTGGATTCCAGAGTCTCGCCTTCAAAGAGTAAGTAGGTATGAGTTAAGAACTGGGTTTCTGGGTTACAATTAGAAGCCAAAAACGTCCAATGGATTTCACTTAACTTCCCCACCATTTTTTGTTTGTTGGTTGGTTTTAAATCTAGAGGAGCCAGGAAGCAAGCATTTAAGGCCAAGCTGAGGCTGGCTGGGGCATCATTAGCTCTCCTGAGTTAGACTCTGCAGCCTCCTTCCATGCCTGTTTTTTGATACAGGAATTTCATGTTTTCCAGTTTTATGTAAATCATTCAGAAAAATACATCTTCAAGAAGGGAGAGGTTGTCCTCAGGTTATTCTGAAACAAATTTACAAATTAATTTGAGCATGAAGTTATAGGATCTCAGGCTATGTAGAGTAAGTCGGGCACACAAAGACCAACACCAAATGATCTCACTTGTATGTGGAATGCAAAAAAAGTAGAGGGCTGGGCATGGTGGCACACACCTGTATCCTAGCACTCAGGAGGCTGAGGCAGGAGGATTGCCATGAGTTCAAGGCCAGGCTGGGCTTCATAGTGAGTTCGTGGCCAGCCTTACTATATAGTGAGACCCCATCTCAAAAGTCCATAAATAAATAAGGTAGAATTTAATGAAGAAGAGTAGACTGGTGATGGCTAAAAGGTGGAATTGGAGTTACTCAACTCTGGTTCTGAGGGTGAAATATCCAGGTTTTGAAATGTTCGGGATAGGTACAGTTGCTTCAGTTGGAATATCTTTTGTAGCAGGATTTGCTTCCCTGGTTATAGACTCAATACAGCATTTGTAGTTCAGCCACTTGGAAGTCCTCATAGGAAATAATGAACGTATTACAGGACATGCACACACTTCTCTTTATTCAGTGGAGCTTTTATGCAACATGATGTGCAAATCACATTTGTTAATTGGAAAATTTGCCAAAAATTAATTATGTGCATATCTTTCTGGCACTGTGTGGCACATATGCAAAGCAGAACAGTTTGCTGAAAGTAAATAATAACCTCTAACTTGCTCATTTTCATGGTCGGAAATTATGTTTTTGTTGACAGGAAAAGATGTCCTCTCTGTGGTCTTTTCCAGAATGCTCTGTCCTTAGATAATTTTGCACCCAACAGTCACTTCCTTCCTGCCAATTAGAAAGACATAAATGTGTTGAGCAGTCTTTTTAGCTGTATCTCCAAAGGCACTGCTTGCTTAGCATGTACTAGGCCCTGGGTTTGATATCCAGCGTAGGAGAGAGAGAGAGGATTTTAGAGCAAGATCTAAGAAAATTAAGTCAATTTTTCATTCCTATATCAACTTACTAACAGATGACAGAAATAAAATTTTTATTGTCTCAAGACCTTGAGCCACTGTGTTTTTACTAAGCCTTCATTCACTAATTATCCATGAAGGCTTCCCAAGTATGTCATAGTTAAGTGGTTCCAAATTTTGCTACATATTAAAATCACTTGGGAATATCTTAATTAGCCACATCTGATATCAAAACAGAATGCTTGAGGGGGAAGTTACCATTTAAAAAAAAATCCCCAGGGGCTGGGGATTTAGCTCAGTGGTTCCGAAGCCTGCCTTGAAAGCTCAAGGACCCAAGTTTGATCCCCAGTACCACCTCCCCCCAAAAATCCCCAGATGTTTCCGACATTCAGCAGTTGGAGAACTACTGCCATAGTCTTCAGAAGCCCGGAACTTTATCAAGGCTAATGTTAATGCCAGAGAACATTTTTGACCTCTTCTACACAGCATGTGGAACTAAAACTCGCTGAAACTCGAATTCAAGTGTTCGGCGTTGTGACAGTGAGATCTGTGTAATTTCCCATAGTCACCTCGACTTTTCAGCAACTCATTTCTTTATCAGTGAAATTAAAAGAATAGCCTCCCCACAGGCTTATAGGAAGGACTGATTGAAAATTTAGGAAATAGGGCTGGGGATTTAGCTCCATGGCACCATGCCTGCCTCGCAAGCGCAAGGTCCTGAGTTTGATCTCCGGCACCAAAAAAAAGAAAGAAAGAAAAAGAAAATTTAGGAAATGGGCACTAATGTGGCTGGCACACATGAACATTCACTGAATGTTTTGAAAATTCCTACTTGTTCAATAAGGAACTATTCACAACCTGCCTTATTCACCTCTCTCTCTGAAGGAAACTCCTCTTCCTTCCCAGTGTACCCAAGACACTACTCTGGAGGTCCCTCCCTTTCTGCTCTTACTCTCTTGCCCTCTCCACACCCAAGTTGCTCCCTATCAGCTAGTGCCAAGGAACAGTGAGACACAAGAGGCTTTTCTCAGATCAAAAGGATATGTTACCTGTGAAAGCTGCAGCAAAAATGACAGGTAAGAGGAGCTCACATGGATCGAGCAGAATAGACACAAGGAAGGAAGGAACTGGGAAGAACAAATTAGTAGACATTGCCCAAAACATATGGAATTGGGTGTAATTCAAGTTGAGAAAATTTTGGAGAAAGAAGTCACTGAACACTATGAATGAAAGAATCTGGCATGGGTAGTTTTCAGTACCTTCTGTATATTCAGCTCCGTGTTAAGCATTTTGAAAGCTCTGTGAGAAATAGAAAATGTGGTACATGCTATCAAGGAGCATGTAGAGACAAAGGGAATTATGACAGCCATTAGTACCAAACTCTGAGAGCTAAAATGGCCTGAGAGGGTTTTAATGATGAGCTGTGCCTCCAGCTGGACCTTGCAGGGTAAACATGATTTTAAGTAGCAGCGAGAAGAAAACAAAAAAATGGAGGAGCAGCCAGGGGTTAGAACAGGAGGAACCTGATTACTCTGTGCTCCTTTTGTCTCCGTAACAGGAGCTAAAGCCATAGATGTGAAGGGAATCTTAACACTGATGATACTAATGGTCATCGTTTTCTTGCTGCTTCTCTTCTGGGAAAAGGAGCCAGATGAGGATTTAGTGGTGAAGTCCATAGAGCACTTGAATGTGGACTACCCAAAGAGCAGGATTCCTGTGAGGTACTGTAACTCCATGATCCGACAAAGAGTCATCAGGGAACCCAACCACACATGCAAAAAGGAGCATGTCTTCATCCACGAGAGGCCCCCAAAAATCAACAGCATCTGCGTTTCTCCCAGGAAGATGGTGTGCCCAAACCATGCTACCTATTTCTGCTTCCAGAGTGAGGCAAAGTTCAAAATGACACTCTGCCAACTCGTTGGCGGCACAATATATCCTGCCTGCAGGTACCACATTTCCACCTTGGAGGGGTATGTTCTTGTCACTTGTGATAACTTGGGGCCAGTTAATTTCCAGGGATATGTTGAGTAACTTGAGATCAGCCTCTGAGCCTGTAACTCCCGCTTGTTCTCTCTGAGCTGCTCTGGGTCTGTCATTCCTGCAGAAGACTCAACCTAGGGACACAGGGATAAGGCCTTAAGCAAAATGGGTAGTCACCTGTCATTAATTTATTCTTCTAGTACTGCTGAGTTGGAATCATTTTATTCTGCTTCAAAAAAAGTCTTTCCCGCCAGGGATTTAGCTTAGTGGTGGTGCCACCTGCCCCGCAAGCACAAGATCCCGAGTTCGATCCCCGGTATAAAAAAAAAAAGTCAGACATAGAAAAAAAGTCTTTCCTGAATTAAACTGTAAATTCTGTATATGCTTCCATTTTTTTCCTCTTGTCTTTTAGTCATGGGTTGAGGACAAAGGTTGAATACAAGGCAAGTCTGGGATTAAGGCAAAGTGAGTGACACTGTCACTTTAAGCAAAAAATTTAGGTGGGGGCACACAAACTGCAGTAATCTAGATAAATAATATTTTAATTCAATTTTTAAAAACAAATAAAAATTAATGCAAAAATCCTTGATACACAAAATCTTCACATTTTAAATATTCAAACTACCATGGCTAGGATTAGGGTGAGGTGAGTAGTACTAGTGAAAGGTCAGATCTTGCTAATTAAAATTTTAATATTTGCATGTCAAGGGTTATATTCGATTAGCTTGAGTTTTAAATGCTGCATTAAATATTACTTATCTTAAGTAGTGCGTTTTGGGCACCCCCTTATGTTTTGTGCCCGAAGCAAGTGCCTCATCCATCTCATCCTAATCCTGGCCCATATGAAAACACCCGGGATCACCTCTTAGGGTCTTTTCCAAGGATGGTATACACAACTCAACTGCATCTGTTTTGTTTTGTTTTTCAACATTTTTTTTTTTTTTTTTGGTACCAGGGATCAAACTCAGGACCTTGCACTTTCCAGGCAATCATTGTGCCTCTGAGCTACATCCCCAGTCCCAAACTGCATTTTTTTTTGTTTCATAGCTCCTTCTGTGTCTCAAAAGAAAGAGAGAACAAAAAAAGGGGTGGGGGAGAAGGAGATCAGAATGAGCTTGACTGGATAGAAACCATTTTCTTTTCTTTTTTTTTTTTTTTTTGGTACCAGGGATCAAACTTGGGATCTTGTGCTTGTGAGGCAGGCGGTGGAACCACTGAGCTAAATCCCTGGCCCAGAAACCATTTTCTGTAAAGACTGTGGAGAGACATGAAGAAAGATTTCCCAGGGAGGGACTGGGACTCTCAGAACTCAGTGTGTCTAGTGTGTCTCCTGTTTGTATCTCTGCAGGGAACAGGCAGGACTTTGAGCTAGACCACTAACTCCTTTCTCCTCTTAGTTCTTGCAACTGAACTCACTGTTTCCTTATTCCACACTCAGCTACGGGAGTAATAATCTTCCAGCCAGAGAGAAGGAGGAGAAGGAGAGCCTTCTAATTCTGAGAATTTCACCAAGACCTGTTCTTTGATCACTGGTTTACTCATCTGTAAGGTGAGGAGCTTCACTGAGGTGATCCTTGAGGTTCTTTTTAAGTCTATCACTCTACTGAAATACTATTTCTTTGATAGTAGAGAAACAAGCTTTGCTGGAGGAAAGGCTTAGTATTGAGAAATAAAAATGAAGAATAATTTCTAAGTGAGGCCATCTTCCGGGGTCCCTAATTCTAAGCTATGATATTTTAATCCTGTGAGAAGTCACGAGTCACAAGCTGTCATGAGTACTTTCTGTCCCAGTCTTCTCAGTTGAGAGATTTCAATTGTTGCATTGACCATTTGGATTTAAGTCAAAGTCATATCAAAGGAGGCGGTGCACCAATGCTCGTTAGTAGCTCTGTCTTCTGTAAGCATCAGGTTTTAACTCACTGGTTAGATTTATGAGCAATGAGAGCACAATCTTGGGTAAAGAACACTTTACAGCTTTGTACGTAGGCACAGTTTACCCACCTCATAGTTACCCCACCACATTTGGGGAGGCTCTTGTCCAGCTGAGTGCCACCAGCCATTTTTCTGTGAGAATCCTACTGTCACTGTTGTCTTCATAGAAATCTGGGTGCTAGCAAGTGAGCAAAGAGCTCTCAGCATCTGAGCAGAAATTGAGCAGGAAATCACGTGACTTAAGTCTTGGTAGCATCAGTTCCTGGGCAAACTTTGCAGTAGATGACATGTGTCCTTTAGGCTTCTGCTTCTGTTCTCTGAGTTCTGATTCCTTTTTCTGCCCCTATCCCTAGGCTTTATTGTCCTTTCTTGCCTTCTCAAACCTTTTTCTTCCTCCCTCAAACTTTCTTCTAATTAGAAACAAATCTTGTTGATAAATGCATTCTCATTAAAGTGTAACAGAGATGGTCTGAAGGAATCTATCCTCAGAGCATTTTTTTTCAATAGGGATCAAAGTACAATTCGAATGAACTGTAACATGTTAGAAATTTGTGGTTTTGTTTTGTTTTGCTTGTTTGTTTGTTTTAATGAGCACCTAGAAGTTTGAAGTTCATCCCATGCAACTGTGAATTCTGCCCACTTGAAATTGATGTTTCTGTAAGACTGGGCATCTCTGCACTCCTCTATTTCCTGTTTATTTTCTCTCCACTGTCTTTCTGTTTTCCCATTACCACCTCACTATTGATTTCCATGGCAAAGATGTACAAATTTAGGAAACAAAATAAATTCTTTACAAATTTTTCTCCTTTCTTTTCTCCAACACACACAAAGTCTAGGTTCAAGGCACCCTCTCAAGGTACAATGAAAACACATCCATTTAATTTTTAATAATCTGTTAGTAATACATCAATCCAATTATTAAGACTTATACATACTTGATGCTATGTCTTTGTGCTAATCCTAAACATAGGAAATTCAAAAATCAAATATAATCATTTTAAACTTCATGTGTACTAATGTCAAGTTAGTGGAAAATAAGAAGTGAATAAAGTGGAAAATAAGAGGTTCAGAGAAATGAGAAATGTAGATTTAAGTGTTCAGAAAATGTGCCAAAGAAAGAATGGAATCTGAGTTGTACTTTGAAGAGAGAAATAAAAGAAAGGAGCAAAAAGAAAAGGATGCCATTATAGGTATTCAAAGAAGAGAAGGTCACACTGATTGACAAGAACGAGGTTGTATGACAAAAAATTAGAGATAAATCTTGAAAGGCACATGGGGAGTAGGTCAAATAGAAGCTTGGCTAGTGGGCTCCAGGGATTTGACTTCTTCCTGTATGCAAGGAGGAATGTGTCAAGGATCCTGAAGTAGTGTCATTGCAGGTACTAGTGTTTTTAGAAAAGTAGTGCATTGAAGGAGTTGGAGGGGCAAAGAGTGAAGATTAGAAAGGAAGTAAGAAGGGAATAAAATTAACTTGAAACAATCAATAGCTTTTCCATTTACCACTAATGAGCTAGCTGAGAAAAGAGTTTAAAAAATTCCATTTAAAATAACTTTTAAAAAACTCTAGAAATCAAACCTAATGCCAACAACATATTAAATGGGGAAAGATCAAAAGCTTTCCCTCTGAAATCAGGAGCAAGACAAAATGTCCATTACCACCACTTCTGTTCAACACAGTACTCAAAATATTACCAAGAGTAATTAGGCAAGAAAAAAATAAAAGGGATATGTATAGGAAAAGAAGAAGTCAAATTATCATTATTTGTAAATGAGGTGATCCTCTACAGGGAAAATTCCTCCACAAAATATCCACCAAATGACTGTTAGAATTAATAACCAAATTCAGTCATATGCCAGAATACAAAATCAATACACAGAAATCAATAGGGTTCTTGTACATTAATAATGAACTCACTAAGAAAGAAATTAGAAAACAATAACATTCACAATAGCACCAAGAAAAATTAAATATTTAGAAAGTGAAAGACCTCTACAACAAAAATTACAGTACTCTGAAAAAGAAAATTGAAGAGGACATCAGAAAATGGAAAGATATTCTCTATTCCTAGATAAGTAGAACCAATATAATCAAAATAGCCACACTTCCAAAATTGATATATAGATTTAATGTAATTTCAATCAAAATACCAACAGCATTTTTCACAGAACTGGAGAAAACCATTCTATAGTTTATATGGAAGGAGAAGAGATCTAGAATAGCAAATGCAATCCTGGGTAACAAGAGCAAATCTGGAGGCATCATAATCCCAAATTTGAAGCTCTATTGCAAGGCTACTGTGATTAAAAAAAAAAAACAGCATGGTATGGGCACAAAAGCAGACATGAAGATCAGTGGAATAAAATAGAGGATGCAGAAATACCCCCAATCACATTCAACTATTTGATTTTTGACAAAGGGGCCAAAACACACACTGGAGGAAAGATATCTCAGAGGACTCATATCTAGAATACATAAAGAATTCCAAAAACTTACCCCCCCCAAAATAAAAAACTTACTTGTAGGGGCAGAGGCCTACAGATGAAAAAATAGAATGGGGGCCTCAGTAGGTTTTCTAGCTAATTCTGACTAGAAGAAGTTAAAAACAAACCTATGTACTAACATTTACATTATATACCTGTGTGTTCACTCTAGAGTCACTATATTATTCCCTCTAGGTTCATCATAAAGTTCAAAAGATATCCACACACCTTCTTACTAACTCTAAGCTAACCAGTAATAAGGTGCCCCCTTGCCACCCACCTCAAAGATAAAGCCTTAAAAAGTAGATGAAGGACAAATTAAACAAACAGAGAGAAAGAAGATGTACATAGACCATCGGAAGAGATGATGTTAGGCAGAGATGCCCAGAAGCCAATCCAGTTACGGTAAGCTCAGGGGAGGGGGGTTGTCTCTAACTCTCCTATAAAAGCAGCCAGGGAAAAAGGGCCCACGAGTCCTGCATCTTTCCAGAGCCCTCTACCCTGATTCTTTCTTATCACGGTAGGTATCTATCTTCTCCCCCTTCCTTTTTGTCTCTCATCCTGCACAAAAATCAGTTCAAATGAACCAAAGACTTGGATATGAGACCTGAAACTTTGAAACTTCTAGAAGAAAATGTAATGGAAACACTTGAAGCCATAGGCACAGGCAAGACTTCCTGAATATGAGTCAATCTGCACAGGAAATATTAGCAAGAATCAACTAATGGGACTAAAAAGTTTCTGTACAGCAAAGAAAATAACTAAGGGAGAGAAGATACTCTGCTCGCAGAAGAAAATCTTTGTCAACTACTCTTCTAAAAAAAGATTAATATCTAGAATACGTTAAAAAATGAAAAAAGCTTAACACTAAAAAATCAAATACCCCAACCAATAAACGGGCAAATGAATTGAACAGACGCTTCTCAAAAGAAGTACAAGTGCCTAATAAGTGCATGAAAAAAACGTTCAATGTCTTTAGCCATTAGGGACATGCAAACCAAAACTTAATTGAGTTTCCATCCCACCCCAGTAGGAATAGCTATCGTATACAAATAACAACAGATGCTGGTGAAGATGCAAGGGAGGAAGGAACATTTCTACTGTTGGTGGGAGCATAAATTAGTACAGCCACTATAGAAATCAACATGGAGGTTCTTCAAAAAGCTAAAAATACAACTACCTGTTACACTATTCCTTGGCCTATACCTGAAGAAGTTAAAGTCAGCATTCTACAGTGATACCTGCAAATTCATGTTTACTGTGGCACAATTCACAATAGCCAAGGCATAGAACCAGCCTAGGTTAAAGAATAAATGGGTAAATGGGTAAAGGATAAATTGATAAAGAAAATATTATATATATGTATGTAGTATTCAGCCACAGAGAAGAATAAAATTTTGTCATTTTCATGAAAATGGATGGAACTAGAGATTATCGTGTTAAGCAAAACAAGTCAAGTACTGCATATCTTCCCTAATATCTGGAATCTTCAAAAATGATGTGAAAGTATAAGGTATGATATTATTATACAAGAGGAAAGAAATTATATGGAGGGGGAAGAGGGTATAAAGGAGGTAATGGGGAATATATATGATCAAACATGTCATATGCATGAATAAAAATACATTGAAGCCAAATATCTTACGAAATTAATATTTACTAATACAAACACATTTTAAAAAGTGGAAATAACCCAAATACTCATAAACAGGTGAATGAAAACCAAAATGTGCTTCATTCATACCATGGAATAGGATTCCTCTCTAAAACCTTTCAAAGTACAGATACTGGCTACAGCATGGATGCAACACAAAATATGTTCAAAGAAAGAAGTTGAATGTAAAAACTTGTGTATCGCGTGCTTCCATTTGCATGAAATATCCAGAAAAGAAAAAAGATAGAATAACGATTGCCTAGGACTGGGTGTGGGAATGGGGGGTGGGGGTGGGGGTTGACCATAGAACAGGGGCAAAGGACCTTTTTGAGAAAATGAAAATGTTCTACAATTGTGATTTGCCTTTGAATCACACACTTAAAATGGGTTAATTTGGTGGCATATAAATTACACTTCAATAAAGCTGCTTTAAATGGGCAAGTAAGAATGATAATGCAGGAGCTAATGTGCACAAGAGAAGGGGGCTCTTAGAGGTGGGAAAGAAATAAGAGGGGACAATAGGGTAACTCTAGAGTAAAGGATTTATCCTGAAAACCATCTGCTCTGCAATTCTCACTATGAACTTCCCAGCATTGACAGCAGATAAAAGATTTTCCAGCGGCTCAAGTCATGTCCCATTGTTAAAAAATATTGTTGAGAAACCAATGTCTGTATAATTCAGTGTGTGATGCTGTACAGAATAACAAGAATCAGAAACTGTATTCTAGGCTCAAGGTTTTATCATCCTTAGTAAGAGGGGGGAAAGACTAACATGTATCAACCAACTAGAATGATACAAAGGATTGTTCAAAAGAAAGTATAGCATAATCTGTGTTCTAGGAGTCTGAAAAGAAAAAAAGATCACTTGTGTTAAAGTATAAATAGATGGAGGTGATTTCACAGAAGAGCAGGCGGAGGTGCTTCCTGGGTCACTGAGATTGTGACTGCCAAATGGACACTATGTTCAATTTCTCTGAGGGTCCTTGGTTCCACATTGTCTCCTCTGCCAATTTTGTACAATTCTTTCTACCCCTTTCTTGCCCCTCCTTCCCCTCAGACCTTACAGCAGAAACTCCCAGGAAACAGTTTCGTTTCTAGCTCTGCAACAAGCTAGAATCTATCCCTGCAGGATCAACTTGTCAAAGGAACTGGTAAAGATGGAAATCTCATGACTGAGAACGGGTGGGAAAAGCAACAAGGGAGGGGAAATGACTGTGTGTTTTGTTTTTAAGTGGCTACCGAGTAACGGGTACTGTATGGGGCTGTAGGAGAGAGTAATGACGAGGAATGCATTAGGTGACATGACTGTGACTCACTATGGAGACAATAGACCCTACCAATAAGAGTATAAAAAAGAGAAAAGGAAGACAAATAATACTTGGTTCCAGCACTTTAAACTTATCACCTTACATAGCTATCACAGTTTCTTTTCAGATGAGTAAACTGAAGTTAAATGAAGTACGGTGATTGTAAGTGGAGAAGCAGGGATTTGAACCCAGGTCTTCAGACTCCACAGCTGATTGCCTTTTCACTATATTATACTTCCATTATTACAGTGTATGTAGGAATCTTACATCTAGGGGTCACTCCTGGGAGTAACGGTCATAATGAAAATAAAACTTATCTCCTTAATATTCTCCTTCTTTTTGTGTTTTTTGTGTTTTATGTTTCTTTTTGTGTTTTCTTTTTGTTATCTTTACTCTAGTAGAGATTACACTAGATTGAGATGGAGATCTTCTCTCTGCTGCTGCTTGGCCTAGGACTGATTCTTGCAGAAGCTTCAGAAAGTATAATGGAGATAAAGAAGAAGTTGCAGAGGAAAAGATGCAACATGAGATAGTAAAAAGTGGCCAAGAAAAGACTGATGAGGTATTAATGAACTTGACTCTGTTTGATAAAAATGCCAGCCTCAGCTTGTCCAAGGACATTATGCCTTCTTCATTACTGACATTCAGGTTATGTTATAGCATATCTAAAGGAAACAGTCCCTTTAATGACAAAGAGTGTTGCAATAACATGATAGTTTGGAGAAAGGTTTTAGAAGCTAATATGTCATTCAAATCAAGCAATAACTTCATCCATGGCCCGGGTGAAGTGATTCACAGGATCCACAAAGCCTCCAGCTGCAAGTGTGGACAGAATTCTGGCATACGTGGCTGTGAGAGCCTGGAACTGGAGAATACTGCATGCCAGCTCACCACAGGCAAACAATTCCCCAGGTGCCAATACCACAGCGTTACTTCATTAAAGAAGATACTGACAGTGCTGGCAGGTCATCCTCTGATGAGCTGGTTGGTTGGTGGCTCTAAATTGTAAACCCCGTGGGGATTTGAGCCATGAGTCTATGTTTAAAAAATTATGTTCATACTTATGATGTTGCTTCCCTTCTGTTATCTACATTACCGATTAGCCCTATAATCAACTCAATTCTTTATACCAGGTGGAGGAGTGAAAAATCCAGAACACTGGACTATTCAACTAAAATTTATAACTGATCCTCAAATTTACATCATTGTTTCTCCTTCCCTTCCCTTCCTTTCCCTTCCCTTCCCTTCCTTTTCCCTCTCCCCTCTCTCTTTCACACACACACACACACACACACACACACACACACACACACTGTTCTTCTGAACAAAACTAAATTCCATCTAGCTCAGCTATAAACTGACTTCTCTCAAGAGAGCACACTTGTGGAGAGAGGCCCCAGACCAATATGAATAATTAAAAGTGAATTGTATTGCTAATGAGGCTATCCAAGAAAATGGTGAGTGGGTATGGCAGGCATTATTGCTGCTTGTCAAAGAAATGCATGCACAGAAGTCTGAGCACCACACCAGCATGGGTTGTCTGTCTTCCAGGAGATACCAGAGGAAAAACATTTTTGATATAGCTGCTGCTCTCAGTGTTGGTAACTCCAGCATTGCGCAATTTCCATTTCATCACCCTCCTCCCTATCTCTCAGGTGGCTGCAAAGGGACATAAAACTTTATTGTAATTTTGACTCAAGCAAACTCTTGTTACTCAGGGGCTGTTGGAGAAGAATGGTAAATTGTGGAGGAATACAGAAGGTAGCAAGATAGGAATAGGAAGTCTATGCCAAGTTCCAGGCAGGACTGCTCCTCAATCTTGGTATTTTCTGACATTGCAGTGAATTTTTTCATTACCAGTTATTTATCTGTACAATGTTATGGTTCAACACTCTGCATAAAGCATGGGTAGTCATCTTGTTCACTGACATGCATATGTATGCTCCTGTTTCCCCCTCTTACATTCCTCTCCATTCTGAGATCATTCTTTTTAATGTTTTAGTTTTAAATAAATGCATGAAATGAATGTTATGTCACTGTAACATTTTTCTTGTTAAATATAACCCTTTATATGTCAACTTTCCCAATTCTTTGCACACTTGACACAGAGTTCTCACTATACTGGAAGTGCAAAACTCTGGTGACCTTTAAACTGCATCATAACAACATGTTTCTGCCTTTTAGTTAGGTTTTTCTTGTTAGTGTGGTGACTCCTGAAATAAACATTCACTGGATTGGGCCAAACAGGTATGTAATTAGCACTCAGTTTGTACTGAGCAGCCCAGGGACACACTTGGGTCACAAAGGTCTTTTCTCTGTAGGAAAAGAGGCCAGGAGCAAGGGAGATGTTCTTATTGAGTTCCATTCCCAGGAGAGTTTCATGTAGCGATTCTGATGCCACTGCTCATTCACTGAACAGAAGGGAGTGGGTTCCATACACGGGAGAGCAGTCTAAGCAGTCTTGGTCCAGATTTAGTTCACATCTGAGTAATTTCTTTTCTACAGTAGTTCTTCTGGCTCTGCTGAGGGACAGATATGTCAGCCCCAGAGAGAATGGTTATTAATCTCTGGGACAGTTTTTGTAATATATATATATATATATATATATATATATATATATTTTTTTTTTTTTTTTTTTTTTTTAAACCCTAACTAGTTCAGAATTGAGTTCAGATTTCTTCCCTCATAGAAGAAAGGAACAAAGATTTAGAAGAGGTCTTTATTTCTAGGCCAGGAGGATCCTTTACACAGGCTTAATTAAACCAAAGCTTCTGCTTCTCTGCAGGATTTGGGAGCTCTGCCTTCTGGTGCCCTGATCTCCCAGGATCTAGTTCATCAGCATACTTGGAGGTCTGAAAGATGTTAAATGTGGAGGTGCCTAACACCTAAAGGCCTAGCATTTTTGACCCTTGAAGCCTGTCAAACCTACATGCATCCTAAAGTCCCTCATGAGACAACACACAGGGTATCGCAGACTTTCAAACATTAAGTTTGCATAATGTCCCTTTCCTGCTCCCAAACCAGGGAGGGCCGCTTTGTCCTTCCAGCCTCATACCTATGTTCCTTAGGTCGACATTAAGGTCCCTAATGTTCCTCATTTTGCCTAGCATGTCTTCAGCACCTATCCTGTCTCTGTGTTTTGACGCTGCTCTTCTCTCCATCCTCAGGATTTGTTTTGTCTTTGCCTTTACACTGGTGGTAGGGTACCACAGTGCCCTACCTTTCCCTTTTTCCATGAATTTCAGCCCACGTGATTGCACAAGCCACACCTGACTAGAAATAGTCCAAGGGTCTCTTGCACTTGTTTCGTTGTTTTTTTGGTTTTTTTTGGTACTGGGGATTCAACTTGGGTCCTTGCGCTTGCGAAGCAGGCGGCAGAATCTCTTGCACTTGTTAGAAAAATAACTGAAAGGAAGATATGTGCTATATCCCTGAAGCTGAAAGAAAAAGAGGGAAAGAAATGAGGTGATAAAGAAAGCAGATCCAGTTACTAAAGAGTTCAGTAGAGAAAGGAAGCTGAGAATGGATTGACAGAGAAGATCGCACAACAGATACTGAGGGGCTATTCAGCATAAGAGAAGCACTATTTTTTTTTCTTGCTGCTAATCATTCCCTCTCTTTTGCCAACATAGAGAGTATTACATTTCTTCTGAGCAACAATCCTGAGGTGACAGCAAGTGCCTGGCGTCAGCACCCAAAATGGCAGTGAAGGAAGGAAAACCTGGGTGACCTCACAGATACATCCTTATAGAGTTTGGGGAGAGGGATCATCCAAAATTCACATAACCTCACTGGGATTTAACTTGCTTATCTATACATTGTGGATGTTGGATTAAACTGGGTTCTTAGACTTAGGTGTGCCCGAGGATCATGGTAGAAGAGCTTCTAGGTTGCCCACTCTAATCAAGCATCTCCTTTCAAAGCCAAGAGTGGCAGTTAGGTACCAGGCACCTGATCATATTTCCCCCCCTAGGCTCTCTTCCCAGAAGTGATAAGGACCTCTTGTAAGTCCAGATCTTGCCACACTGGACTAGCTTTCTCTCTGATTTTTTTCTTCTCTTCTGTTAGATCCCCAAATGGACACGAATATGTCTCAAATTTAATTGTGCAGATGTTGATTATGTCCTAGGAGTGGACTCAATGGCAAAACAGAAGGAAGCCATGTTCCTGAATAAATGTGTTCAGTGGAGTTATTTTGCTAACCTCGACTGTTGCTTATTTTGGAACTGTTATATGAGAGAAAAATTTATATATATATTTGGTACCCGGATCGAACTCAGGACCTTGCGCTTGCCAGGCAGGCACCAGAACCACTGAGATAAATCCCCGGCCCTTATATTTTTAAACCACTATTTTCTGAGATTTTGTTTCATAACTTTGGCCTTATCCTAACAAATATAATAACTTTAGGAGTTGTTATTAAGCACAAATCGCTGGGCCAAAATCCCAGAAATCTGGGCTGAGAGATCAGAGAGGCAGGACTGTAGCATGTAGTTCTTTTATAAGTATATTAGATTTGTTTCTGTGCTCTAAAGTTTGAACACCACTAAACTAGATGAACTAAAAGCTTTTTCTAACTCTAGTACTGATAAAAGAGGAGGAAGGTTGTCACCTATGTATTCAGAGCTTTTGAGGATGATACTGAAGCAAAAAAATTCAATTCAATCCAAAGTATCCACCTCCTACACGGGCTCCCTGAATAGCAAAACTGTCTTTTTATCCTAAAAATTCTTTGCCATGCTATACATTTTGAAGCAAACACAATGACACTGTAAGACCTATTCATGTTGCCAAAAAAGTTGTTGAGAAGTCAAAAGAGATATCACACACCCAAAATGGATCATTTTTATTCCTCTGACCAAGTAACTGGAAAGTTTGAGATAAGATGACTTTTAAATCCTCAATGTTTGCAAAGTCTTCTAAACTACTTCAAAAGCATGTACAACAATCTGCCATATATATATATATAATTTATATTTTCAGAACAATCTTCATGAAGTCAATTTTACTATTATCCTCATTTTAGTGATGAAGAAACAGAAGCACAAAGACTTTAGGCAATGTATAAGATTACGTCTCCAATAACTGCCCCCCAGAACAAACAAAGCCAGTCTGATTCCATAAGCCACATTTGTAACTACTTACCTTTATTTGATAGAATAAGCAAACTAGCTCATAATGATATGTTCTGGAATGCTCCTGAATAAATTCTACCTCACAAGATTATTTTGGGGATTAAATGATAGCTGTCATTATTACATGTAGATCAGGGTACTGTGCTAAGTACTCAACTGAAAAAAATCTAATATTTATGGCTGTCAAGGATGAACATACCTATAGAAAAATAAGCAAGGGATACAAAGAGAAAATTAACCACAGAAAAAATAGTCAACAAACATTTGAAAAATATTTTCCTTCCTATTAAATGCAATATAAGTAAAAACAATGTGCTATCATTTTTAATCTTGATTAATCAGCAGAAATAAAATTAAGAAAATAACATCAAACTGGCACAGGAATAGGAAAGGGGACATTCTCATGCTCTCCTCCTCGGGACACAAACATGTTTATTTGCCATCTTTCTGGATTGCAACTGGAGCTAAGTAATGGGAGCTTAGGTCCTCCTTACTGCTGACATTCTTCCTCTTACGCACCTTCTAAGTAAGAGACTAACTCACCCACATTGTCAAGGGCCTACCTGGGGCTTGTCTCAAGGAGGATCAAAGTCCTGGCCATGTGAGACCCGTAGGCAATGCCTGTCCTTGCCAGTTTGGGCTGTTTCAGGAACATCATGTTCTGTACAAGAGTATATGGGCTGAGCTCTGTGACCTGTCACATTAAATGGCCCTACTGAAGCCCTCCTGGGTACAGGAGCAGGACCTCTTAAAAGAGGAAAGAGGAGGGGAAGTGGGGGCAGGCTGGAAGGGTGGGCTACTGAACAAGCAATGCCCAGCACAACTGAGGAGGTGAGGACTTCTGTCCTTACATTTTTCCCTTCTTTCCTCTTCT